CAGCAGTTGAATCATTCTTAGTCGGAAAGCACGGGAGATCACTTCGCCCACTGCCTCATCGCCTTTGAAAATGTCCACCGCAGTTGTGGACGAAAAGTCAGGAAGAAATTCCGATAGACCACGGCTTCAAAGCCCGGAAAACATTTCTAAATGTAATCTGACCGGCCGTGAAAGCCTTCATATATCTTGGGGATGTTACGTTTATGTAAGTGGAATATTTTTGCTGCCTCCAAACGCAGCGAAGACAGAAGTTAGCTGCTTTCACTTGACCTTGTCCTTTAAGAAGCACCTCCCAGACCCAGACAGCAGCTAAGTTGAACACTCAGAATACTCTCCACAGATGTGGTACTACCTGGGCCTGGGGATCTTCTGCTGGCACCCTACCCTCTTCCGCACTAGGGTTGGTTTACTTTGCTGCTGAATATTGTACCCGGCGTCACTCAACAGTACTCACGTGGGAAGAGTGGACGTCCAATTGAACAACACAATGCGCATCGTCCGGAACAAAAAATCAACTCCCACCCAGTTGTTTCCCGTATTAAGCCACACCTACGCCGACAGAACGCACTCTGTTGGGAATACCGGACAAACCCCAATTACCCATACCTGTCCCAGACCTCAAAAGGAATATGCTTCGCACAAGACATATTGCACTAGGCACAGGTGAATAAGAAACTCTGCTACGCGATGCTTTCAACCTCACCAAACCATGGAAAAGAGAATGGGAATCAAAGGACGTTGCCGTTAGCACAACAGCCACTCGGCTTTGATTTGCTACGAAAAGCTTGGTCAACGTTGACCAGAATACGAACGAATAGACAGACTATCCGACAAATAGTGGAGGCATGCCCCCTAAGATCACATGCATAGAAGCAATGGACCAACATCTTTCTCTGTATGTGTTCGCTTTATCAGTGACTACTGGATTGTTTTTTTGTATGTGTCTACGATTTATTCAGCATGTTTTGTGTACTAATGTGATGTATTGCCATACGATAAATAAATAAATAATTAGAGATTCAATATAAATATTTAGTAGTAATGGTAAATTCGATCGAAAGCGTAATGTAGCACCATCAACATTCAAATATCTCGAACTTGTATACAAACACCCAGTACCTACACAATTCACTTAGAATTTCTGTAAATCATCGTGTGTATCGTCGGTATGCTTTCGTGTGAATGCTTTAAATATTATAAAATTATTCAAGCAAAATAAATCAGCTCCCATATTTACGTGTTTCTTGTACTAGTAACGACTACTAAGATTGTAAGTAACGAATACATACGGGTATTCAGTTTTTCATAACTCCAACAGCACTGATCTTTAATAAAATCTGATCGAGTATTAAAAAATTCAAATACTTTACCAATATAGAACTTCGATTCCTTCATCGAGGTCGAATCGAAAGTGGGAAAATCCCAAATAATTGCCATCATTTGTACTTTTGGCAATTAAATATCTGGCAGCTTCATCATATAATTCCTCAACCTTCTTGGGTTCATTCCAACCCCACGAACACTGTTCATACCTAAAAAATGTTAATAATGATTATAAAATGTTTACGTGTCCTTTCTTTTCAATGATGGTCTAACTTTTCTGTTGAACGCGATGTAAATGAGGGTAAAAACTGATTAATTAGTAATCGAAAACGATTCAAATAAATGTGAACTTTTGTTTGTATGTATCTAGTAGGTAAACCAAGCGTCTTATTTAATTAATTAATGTCGAAAGAAATTCAGATTATTGATATTATCTGGTAAATATCGAGTTCAGCCATTCTCGCCTGTTCATGTTGAATGTATTTGAGATACATTGTGAATGAACTATCACTTTTTACCAGGAATACTTCTTAAGCGAATATCAATTAACTAATTAGGTATTCGGACAGTAACCAATTGAACATATGAAAATATTCTAGATATTAACTGAGTGAAATTGAGATTAACATCATTTCGAACGTTAAATGGTTTCATATGCCTACATAAAAAGAACATACACCTACTTTAATTGCATGTTTTTCTTTGTTAGGGAAAGAGCCCACTTCTTTTCGATATCACTCAAATCTGAACTTTTTCTATAGATTATATCTGCTACAATTCCATTCTTATTGTACTTTTGAAAAACTGGAAAGTCTGCCAGGGGGTTTTCCAGTTTATTGGCTTCGGCCACCACTGTCATTGCCTCCCGTATTCTTTGCTGCTCCTCTTTCCTTTGCAATCGTTTTTCCTTTCCTTTAGCACTACTAGCCGCAGTTTTTCTCTAAAGCAATACGACTAGTTATATAAATATACTATAAGTTTTCCAATTTTACATGACCCTTACCCCCATTTTTTATATTTTCTTCTGTTGTATTAAGAAATAATTTTTTATTACTAATATAACAATAAATGTTAGAAATTTAACTATAAACAATCACACTAGATAGCATGTAGTCTGATATTGGCGGCAGATGTAAATTGACAACACATTGACAATTTCACTCTGTCAGAGTTTTCGAGTACTTCGCACATAGATGAAGACAACTACAGACTTCGCAAACGCCGTACGGACAGAGATCGGGTTTATAGTTTACATGTTCATATAAAAGGTGAATTGGATTGATGCGAATAATCCATTTAAGTATATATTCAATTATAGAATATATCGAATTAATTCGATTAACTGTAGAAAATATGGCGCAATAAATCACAAATACGATAGTATTTTCAGAGAAAGAGAAGGAAAGCCATGCTTACAGATGTGAAAGAGAGACAGCAATAAGGGGCAGAGAAGCTAGTGTCAGACAATTTGGATAAAAAATATTGAGAAAAAGTCAATTCAAAATTCCTGATATCAAAAGAAGATATTTTACCTGTAAAGTGACGAATCGACCGATCGAACTGCATCAAAAACATAAAATAAAATATTTGGAGATATCAAATAGCCGCATCAATATGCAATGCATATATTTTTGCAAAATTTTGGAAAGCAATATCATCACACCCTTTTAACTCATACTGTATAATAGTCCAGTTAAAATACATACTCGACAAAATTGTAAAAATATTGATAAAATGTTATAAATTATTTGTTAATAATTACGTCATATTTTGCCATAAGTGGTGACTTGAAAGTGTTTTTTATGATTATCAAATGCGCCCTATAACTTAGTTTTTTAAAGGAGTAGATTCGGGTTTAACCGCGACATATTATTGGTAAGGATATTCAATAAACTTTGCAATATTCTCATTACTTCTGACCCGAATAGTATTCGAAATTGCAGGCTTTATTACTGAGACGCTTTGTGGGCAATCTGGCAGTCTTTAATATTTTGAAATTTGTCTAATTGCTTTTATCACGTGCCAACTCCGAATCTATGTATGAATGATTCAAGCTAGAAAACAATCGTAGTAGTAGTAAATAGAAAATGTCGTTTTACGCGATGAGCTTTAAATTTTAAATGTTTTATATTATTCCAAGACGCTGGACTTGTCAGCCTTGTTTATTTATTGGAGTTGGTGCCATTTATAACATAAAACTACTACTACTAAATGCACACTTTTGATCTGTTTCTATTCCTTTAAAAGCTTGCAAAAGTTAACTAATCAACTTTTGATCAACTAATCAAACAAAACAAATCACAATCAGAAAATAATTTTAGGCACCAGGGGCGTCTGGACTTTTAAATTCGCGCAGGACAAATGAACTCCATACTAAAGTCAATGTCCCGTATTGCCGACTGTGGTGCCACCTGTTCAAAAAAGCAGAGAAAACTTGTGGGGGAAACTAATAGAGGCCCTCAAATATTTAAACAGAAATTCTTATCATTATAGTTAAGAGGTTCGATGTATTTTATGCAGTATAGAGCCCCAGACCACTTTAATGATCAAGTGCGTAAACTGTTTTAAACACACGATACTCCAGTCGATGGATTAGTCGAAGGACTCAACTACCACACCATGGCTTCCGAGATCTGCAGATCTGAATTCAGTGAGATTTTTGAGATTGAAACCGTATTATTTCCAAATAAAATCAATGTGACCTCCATGAACGAAGCACAGAAACAATTTACTACTACTATCTCCAAGCGATATTCTCCCTTTTCAAACAGTCTGGATTTTCAATTAATCTTTTTTTGATGTCCCAACCAGCAACAGAATTTAAAATTTTGAATTATTTGATCAAATTTTACAAACCAAGGGAGTGGGAAAATTAGCCAGATTACAAACAATGATTTTCCACTGTTGGTTGCGAAATTGTTTGTCAAATTTATCATCATTTACAACAATTACCAAATCCTGGATGTAACTCTCTTA